TAAGCTTTCTCACAGGACCCCACAGAGATACTATCACCCCCTAAACAGCAGGAAGCAATTCTAAGAAAATGATGCCCCTCTCCCAAAGGTTTCATTTTTTTCTCAGGGTATGGATAAATGGTTATAGGGTTGGGGTGGAACAATAAAATTTAGACTCACTACTCTTTAAGAAAAGAAAAAAGGGGAAATGGATAGGTATAGGATATTAAGGTAGATTATTGTATCTATTAGTAAACTAATTTAGCAAACTATCAGCCTTGGATAATTTGCACTGATATGGATTCTTGGCTATTGATACAAATGTACAACTATTTTTATATTCATATTTAAGATAATTTGTATGTTGGTACAAATTCAAAACTATAATTGTCATATGGTATACATGTTCCCACTCCTGTTTGAAATATTTTGTGTATTGGTACAAATGTAAAATTATATTTGTCATACTGTATGTATGCTCTACCTCTGTTAGGATATTCTGTATATTGATACATATTTAAGATGTTGTTATCATACTACACTATACATTTCTTCCTCCATTTAAGATATTTTGTGTATTGTCACAATTTTGAGGTCATTGTCCTTATACTGTACATCTATTTATAGACTGTTCACCTGGTTAACGTGAAGCCTTAGTCCTTAGGTTATTTAGGTAGATAAGACTTACAGATTTACAGTCACCCATGTTTGTCATTTCTATAGTTATGTTAGTTAGGGTTTTTTTTTTGTTGTTTTGTCTTTTTTTTTTTTTTTCCAGAGCTGAGGACCGAACCCAGGGCCTTGCGCTTGCTAGGCAAGCGCTCTACCACTGAGCTAAATCCCCAACCCCTAGGGTTTTTTTTAGATATACAGAAATATATGTTGGATGGATAGGTAATCTTCAAACACTTCATAGACCTAGAGAATATGGCATTTAAATAACTTAGAATTCTGTTGACGTGAGACACACAATTGCTCCTGGCAGCACTGATCTGATCCCCAGAGAATGTTGGGCTTCTAAGACATTTCCTTTTGGATGTTTGTCTTCTTGGCACAAAATGTCCTGCTGGGCAAAGAACTGCCCTTGCCTCGACTGCTGACAGTATGAACACTGTCCTTCCGGACAAGCAGGACACAAGGAAAAATGACTACTGAACCCTGCCAAGACAGGGTAAGATTTTTTTTTTCTTTTTTCTTTTTCTTTTTGGCTTTTTCAAGACAGGGTTTCTCTGTGTAGTTTTGGTGCCTGTCCTGGAGCTCGCTTTGTAGACCAGGCTGGCCTCAAACTCACAGAGATCCACCTGCCTCTGACTCCCGAGTGCTGAGTTTAAATGCGTGCGCCACCACCACGTAGCAAGATGGTCTTTCAAAATTCCTGCTTCTGAAAATGATCTGTCAGATATTCTAGGCCTGAAACCAAATTGGATGCCCCAATGGTGCTGAAAAACTTTAGGTGACTGTCCAGGCTGCCAGTTTCTCTGTCTATCTTGCAAAATTTCGGAAATTGCTTGCTTACGTTTGATGGGGTTGAAGACTAGTAGTTACAGTTACAATCGTCTCATATCTTAGCTAGAACATATTAAATACTAGATTCAGACTCTTTAGGATAGGACGGACAGCTATTGGAGTGATTTCTGTAACATGCCATTTACCTACGTTCTGGACATCTGGATTTTAGCACGTGTCTCTTGTTTGATGTTGTTCTTGCTGGTTGCATTTCTATTTTTGTTTAGATTATTACTTTTCCCCTCTCCTGGACATTACTTGATAATCATTTCTATTGTATGTAGTTTTGTATTAGGTTAGAACTTTCTTATTTAGACAAAAGGGGGAGATGTAGTGGGTGGCTGTCTATGACCTTGACGCACCACCCCTAGAGATGTAGCAGGTAACTACTGTACCTGCCTATGACCTTGAAGTACATGCCCCTGGGGCATGGCCTCTTGTCAACCTTTAAGACCTAAGATGCAAGGAGGCATGCTCTCTCTTCGCTCCCTCGGAGTTTGGATGAGGGACTGACACAGGCAGCCGGAACTGCGTTCCAGAACCTCCGACAATTCTGTTCTGTACAATGAGTTTTTATCCCCTAATAAATTCCTTTGCCCTTTAAGCAGACTCTGTGGATTTCTTGCTATACCATGAAGTTACCTGAGGCAAGAAGAAAGCTGTTTGAACCTTACTCTGGGCCACAGTGGCCCAGAGTAAATACCTAGCAACTCTGGATGTTGCTAGGTTATTTAAATGTTATGATCATATGACTCACTGAGGGATAGCCATCTCATTTTATAGACGTGGAGAGATAAGGGACCCTGTCTGTAAGGAGGGAGGAGACCGGAATCCACCTCTTCCTAAACCAAGGGTGAGGAGTAGGGCAAGGACCCAAGTACTATACTTGATCAACCAGCGATCCACAGGGGCAGTCGCTCAAAGTGGGAAGGAGGGCCTGAGCATCAGTCCCTCCTTGGTGGACTTCTTAGGCCTTGGCTTCTGGACAGATCTCCCTGTTTCTCCCAGACAGAAACTTGGACTCAGAGCCATCTTGTTCTTGAAGTTGGCCTCAGCTGTATTTTTCCAGATGCCACCAATACGGTTCACATGATGTAGGCCCTAAAGGTGTGGCTGCCATCTGAGTCGACAGGTGGCCTGGAGAGGTGGGGAGCCACCAGAGAAGGGCAATGATTCAGCCCAAGCAAGGTCACCCCACCCAAGTCTAGTACAGAGAGAAGTCTCAGTTAATCTAGCTTTGGTGGGGCAACTGTGAAAAGAGGCACGGAGGCCTGCCTGGGACAGCAAAGCCACCACCCCGGCTTCGTGTATTGTCTGCAGCACAAACAGGTGAGACATCCCAAGAAGCAAAACCTCTCTGGACCTGTTTCCTCCTCAATAAAATAAAGCTTCTACCACGGGGTAGTCTGTCTAGTCTGAAGAAGTTGGAAAGTGAGGTTGAGCTAGACTTAGGAGATCATGAGAATGTGGGGGTGGGGGAGGACCCCTCCCCCACCCATAACCAAGCTTTTGGAACGCTTCCGCCCCCTAGTGGTGACTCACAGTAAGACGACCTCGGTTTGGGAATACCAGACTGGAAATCCTCCTACCTGGAAACCCAGCTTCCTGTGTCCCCCACCCCAGGATCCTTTGCCACTCAAGGGCCCTCTTCAGTTCACGTGCTCTCTGAATGGACCGGAAGGCAATCACAGCCTGTGCACAGGGTGCCCACAGTTCACGTAGTGTAGCGCCTGCTGTTTCCTCCCTCATTCTGCAGACAACGAGGTTCTGCAGCGTGGGGGCCCTGACCTAGGCCCTCGGGCATACCACTCCCTGCTCGCAGCCTCCGTCCAGCGTGAGACCAGACAGGCAAACGGTGGTTTGTGGAGAAAGAGGGAGAAGAAGGTGGGGGCTGCTCAAGAGCATGACACGCTGTGTGATCGACACTCAGAACTAAGGCGTGGTCAGCAACTGTGGGTTTGGTGTTGACTGTGGGCGTGTTCAGGGTACCTGGGCCTTCAGCCTCATGGCTGGGAAATTTTGCTTCCCCGTTCGGGATAGCTTCCTGCAGCGCTTCCAGAGAACGGGGTCATCCTCTCTTCAGGGTGGCCAGGTGTCTCCTGATCCTCCACCCTGACCCTGGCCAGGAGTGGGAGCTGAGAGAAACAAAGACCTCGTCTTATCTCTATAGTCTATCCACATCCCTTCTCCCTAAACCTGGTCAAGGGGCTAAAATGACAGAGAGGGTGGACAGCATTCGGTCTCTTTCCTTCTAGTACCGGGCTCTGGGGACTTCCTGGCTGGCTGAAGCATCGCAGGGGCAGGTATAGCGGGAAGCTTGTGACCTGTGGGTTAGGGCTGAACTCAGCAGTATTTGTGGGGCAGGATGCAGAGAAGGTGGGCGAAACATGCTCGTGTGCACACACACATGTGTGCATGTGTGCGTGTGTGTGTGTGTGTGTGTGTGTGTGTGTGTGTGTGTGTGTGTGTAGGCAAGGGGGGAGGGACAGAGAGAGAGAGAGAGAGAGAGAGAGAGAGAGAGAGAGAGAGAGAGAGAGGGAGAGAGAGAGAGAGAGCTTGCTCTAGGAGCTTGGGTGCGTCACTGTTCCTGGGAAAGCACACAGTCTGACTCAGTAGGAACATCCGGCAGGAAGGGAGGAGGGTACACTGTGGCATTTGCAAGCAGGATGGGAACTCTGGAGCTGCAGAGATGGGGTGTGGGGCCAGGGGTGAAAGCCTGGACAGCAAAGGGGCCGAGGATGGTGGCCAGAGAACACAGACGGGGTAGACTGTGGTGAGGAAAGAGCGGAAACCTGCTCAGTTGGGGACAGAGGGAAGGGCAGAATTTGTGATCCTCACCTCAAGGCCTGGAAGTCAGGCCCTCATAAGTACTGAAGCTGACCTAGGCGCCCCTGGGCTGAGAGACTGGCTGTGTGAAGACTACTGGGGAAGGGGGCCTGTGTCCTTTCTTGGGATCAGAGGGTCTGGAAAGGTCATCCCTGGAGTGCAAGGGTCCTGTGAGAGGATCCCAAGGGAAGGAGGCTGTTGACTGCTGAGTGGAAATGTTTCGGACCTCAGAGAAAGGGCCACCTCAGCATAGGGAAGGGGCTGGCGACCCGAGAGTTCTACCTCAGGGGGCAATCGGTGGGGAGAGGCACTTGAGGTCTGTGGCAGAGAGATGGCCTGGGGAGGAGGGCTTCTTTCTCACTCTTACCTGATGACTTAAACCTGTGCCAACCGGACAGCCAGCAGGAAAGCAGAGGGACGCCTGGGGTGGGGCCTCAGGAGGTGGAGCCTGCATCCCTTGACTTTTTCTACTACTGAGAGGGATGGAGGCCTATGCTATCCACCCATTCTGTTTGCAAGCAAATACAGGCAGGGGTCTTACTGGAGCTCAGGACCACAGGGGTGGGTGGGCCCTGGGTGCCTAGGCCTCCTGTGTGGGGACATGGAGGCAGGGCAGAGAGAGGTGGCAGACAAGACCAGCCGGCTGCTGGTGCTCTGGTCCTCGCCCTCAGAGTGGAAGGGTGGGGGTGGCGGCCCAGCATTCCTGGCTGGGAGCCCGGAGCACTCTTTTGTAATCACAACATGATCTCTTGTGCTGAGCAGAGAAGCTGAAGCCGGCGGGGAGAGGCCGACAGGCCCGGCTCTGGTGGCTCCAGCTTCCCTCCAGCTCTGGCTCCGAGGAGCTGCTTCGGAATTCTCTCAGGGCCTGCTATTTTCATGCATTTGGCTGTGAGTGGCACCTCGTCTTGGGGAGAGGGCTTCTAGAGGATGGGAGGGGGGCTGAACTACACTAAGCAGCCACATTCTGGGGACAGCTGGGGACAGCTGGGCCTGGGAGGAAGAAGGGCATGATGAGGCAGGTGGTGGGCTGAGCAAGTCATTGGGCAAAAACACAGACCCTGGAGCCAGGCGGGAAAGGTCCTCAGATCTTGATGCAGAGATGTGGTTTGCCCAGAGGAGCTCCCAGCTGGAGCTGCTGTGGACCTGCTGCTGCTCTCCTGCCCATTAGCCAGCAGCTCAGACCCGGAGGGCCGGCCGGGCCTGTGGGAGCAGCTCTCTCCAACACACTGGGCACAGGCCTAAGGAGTGGGGTCCAGCGCCTGGGAGGCCAGAACCAAGCTGAGGCCTGTGTTTTTGTGTGTGTGGTTCTAGGTTTGAGGCAAAGAGTCCCCACCTCGACCTCCCGAATCCCCTGGCAGCTTCCCAGTCACGGCGGGTTCTGCTGCCAGAGCCATTTTTAACCCCCATTCCAGACTGTGCTCACAGCAGAACTCCCTGGGGAGCCAGGGGGAGGGGCAGCCTGCTGCTGGGAGCAAAGGCCCTGGGTACAGAAGCCCTGACCTGAGACCCCCTGAAGAGGCAGACTGGCAGACAGGCCTCACTGGGATGGGGCTTAGGGGCCTTCTATAGGTCATCTTCCTAAGGAACCCCCTTCACCTTCTGTGTACCTTAATTTGGGGATACGACCTGTTCCTTGAGTGGGAATGTGAAAGTCGGGTCATTGGTAAGCCTGGGTTCCTTGTCTTCTGCAGGGACCTCACAGAGCCGAGTCCACAATGCGCAGGCACGAGGAAAAAGATGCTGAGCTGGACCGTAGGATAGTTGCCCTGCGCAAGAAGAACCAGGCCTTACTGCGCAGGTACCAGGTGAGGGGGCTGCAGCGGCTGAGAGGACTCCTGTCCCCTCAAAAGCCTATTTGGTTTTTGTTTGTTTTTGGTTTTTCGAGACAGGGTTTCTCTGTGTAGCTTTGCGCCTTTCCTAGATCTCGCTCTGTAGCCCAGGCTGGCCTCGAACTCACAGAGATCTGCCTGCCTCTGCCTCCCGAGTGCTGGGATTAAAGGCGTGCGCCACCACCGCCTGGCTCAAAAGCCTCTTTGTACAGTGGGTTCTTTCTGAGGGCTCTAGACCATGTCTCCAGGCCCTGGCCTAGGGTTTGGGTGGATAGTCTTTCTCAGAGGCATGGTCGGAGTCTTGGGCACTGGTGATGTGGTACCTCTGCCCCCTGGTGTCCCATTGGTGTTTCTCTGTGTAGGCCTGTCAGCGTCTGTGTGTCTGTGAGCCTGGGGGGGCCGTGGCCTTGCTGACCCCAGGCCCTCCCACAGGAGATCGAGGAAGATCGTCGCCAGGCCGAGCAGGGGGGCATGGCTGTGACCACACCAGCGCTCTTCCAACCCGACGGTCTCACAGTCACCATCAGCCAGGTTCCTGGTGTAAGTCTCACTCTGGAGACAGGCAGAGTTGAGGCCTGGTCCATGCCTGGGGTGTTACGACTACCCCACTTTCTCCTCTTTGCCTTTCTGGGTGCCCCCCAGCAAGAGGCCTCCTCAACAGTATTGCTGTCCTCCCCCAAAGGATTGTAGATGAAAGTTCACCAAACAGAAACCTTTTTACCGTCTTCTCTAGTCCAGTGGCTCTGTACATATGCCCTAAAGCACCGCTTTCCCCCAACCCCAGCCCCTGAGGCCGAAACCCTGCAGGAAGCAGAGGACAGAGAAGTCTGTTGAAAGCGAAAGAAACTGTGTCTTAGACTCTGTATTGTCTGCCTGCTCTGGATTTCTCAACCCAGAGATGACAAGCCCTTGTGGCATCTTGGGCCCCTGGGTTGGCCCTGAGCTCTGAATAACTAATGCCATTGGCATGTGGACTCCTGAAGGGCCAAGCTTCTCCAAGGGCATTCCAGAGAGGGTGAGGGCCAGAACCCAAACCTAGGAACCCCCCTGCCCAGCACCCAGCACCTGGTCCTGCCCAGGACTACCCATGTGGCCTGAGCACACAGGCGTCTCACTCCGCAGGAGAAGAGGGTGGTCAGCAGAAACTGGGTCAGGGTGCCCCCTTCCCCTGGGATGACTGGCGCCTTGACAGATGAGGATGCTGCAGACTCGACGGGCGTTTTCTGCATGGGGGACCGGGTGGAACTAGCTGTGACCATGGAGAACAAAGCCAAGGTGAGCAGGTGGAGCATCCAGACCCCAGGTGGGCATTCTTATCTCCCTTGGCTCAGCCATGATGCTCATCTATACCCTCTTCAGGCCAAGCGGATCGTAAGTGAAAAACCCACCACCCCAGCAAGGAACCCAAGGGCCAAGGGGACATCTGGAGGCGGCCGGGGCCAGAGTTCTCCCCTGCAGGTGACTTTCAGCCCAGATTCAGCAGGGAAGGTACATCTTCAAGAAAGGGTAGGGACACAAATCAGCAAGCCCTATCTGGAGGAGGCAGAGAAACGAAGTCAGATATGTCTCTCGCCTAGGGAACCTGGCCTAGGCACCATCTTCGAGAATTCTCACCCTCTTCCCCTTCTCTGGCTTCTATCCACTTTGGGTGCACCTTGCCGTGAGAAATGGTTAAAGTCCGAGATAACGATCGAGGCGTGACTCAACCCCCCCCCCCCCCAGGTGTCAGAGGGATGTGTAGGCGACTGGCTATGTGCCAGCTGTGACCTCTAGGGGGCAGCAGCCCCTTGTAGTTGATCTTGCTCCCAGCCTCTGGGTGTCCCTCCCGTCTAGGGCCCCGTCTACCCACACCAACAGCTAAGAAAGGTGATAACCTCCCTTTACAGACAAGGAAATGATGCACAGAGAGGTTCAGTTACTGCTCCCAAACTGACCGCTAACAAGTGTTTGGATGCAAACCGTCCATAGCAAGTACAGCCTGCTGGAGATGAGACAAACCTAATTATACACGGGGATGTGGAGACCGTGAGAGAGCGCCACTGGAGTCCTCTCCCTGCTTCTCACCCACAAGCCTGAGTGTCTTTCCCTTGCAGGGTGTTCCGGAGCCCCGGAGTCCAGGCGTGGCCCCAGGCCCACCTCCCCAGCAGCCCGCGGGACCGCCCGCAGAGGCCAGGGATGACTACAGGCAGTGGAAACGGGAGCGGGAGCAGATCGACCTGGCCCGCCTGGCCCGGCACAGAAATGCACAGGGTGACTGGAGCCGCCCGTGGGACCTGGACAAAGCCAAGCCCATGTGGGTGGCATGGCTGAGCAGCTTGCTGAGCCGGTTTGATTGTGGGACCCGGGTAGGCCTACTATGGGTGCCTTTTGGAGGGAGAGGACCAGCCTCGGACTTCTGGTCAGACCCTGGGCTCAGGGTTCTGTGTGCCCCCTCTTTCTTGGGTCCACCACCTTTATGCCCTGAGCTCTGAGGTTAGGGGAAGCAGTGTCAGGGTAGAGCCTGAGGCAGGCTCTGTCCATACGGTCACCAGTGGACAGACTAATGCCCTCCTCTGTCTCACACAGGCCACAGGACAGCAGCAAGCCTGGAGACAAGGACTCGGCCATAGGCAGAAAGGGTGAGTGAGCCTCGTGTCCTTGTGCCTTGTTTGTCGGTTTGTGGAGACATTCTTAGCCCAGGCTGGCCCAGAACGCATGATCCTCCTGTCTCATCCAGGATCCCGTTCTCCTCTCTTTTCTGTCTCATCAAAGGTGAAAGGGAGCATGGAGAAATATCTTCCTTTCCTTCCTTCCTCTCCCACACTATTGGATCTCTCCTGTGTCCTCTGAGCCACAGCTCAGTCTGGATTCAGTGGCAGCTGACCTGGGTCTTCGCAGACACTGGTCCTTGTGGGGGAAAGTCTGAGTAGTCAGTCCTCCCTGGCCTGCGGTGGGAACAGTTCTGTGGACTTCTGGTGCCTTCCTTCCTCATACACAGAACCTGGGGGCTAACAAGGCTGGCCATGTCACCTAGCTGGGGAGTGGAAAACCAGTCCAGGACTACAGGCCAGGCCAGGCTTGGCTGGGGAGGTGGCTTGGGCTTTGGGAGAGGTAGGACTCCTAACAGAATTCCTACCGGTAGCTTCTTGGTCCTAGAGAACTGCTGTTTCTGTTTCAGATCCTTTGACACTCCCAACCCTATTTCCTTTGTCTCCCTTTAGGTCCCAGGACCCACCAGAAGCCACAACTTCCCCCACCATCCATGGATGGAAAACGTGAGTTGGCAGAGAAAAGGAGCAGGATTGCTTCAGCTGGCGAAGGCAGTCACCATGGCCCTCTGGTCTCAATGTTTTGCAGGTCGGGGTGGACCATCTGGAAGACCCTCAGTGACATCCACCATAGTCAGCAAAGCCCAGGGGAAGGAGAGGCTGACTGGCAGGGCCCGAAGGTAACAGGTGCCTGGGGACAAAATCAAGGCAAGCGTATAGGTGTCCTCATTTCCGGGACTGGCCCAGGTCTCCCCAGGGCCTCGGCTTCCTGGCTTCCCGCTGCCTGCTCTAGGTTAATGAGATACCGAGAAAGGCCACCGGCATAGGTGGTGGAGGTGAGAGCCAGGCACCCAGAGACTGTGGTAATTACAACAGCTCGCTTCCTCTGGGATGTGAGGTGTGCCTTTCCCAGGCAGAGCACGCAGGGACATGCCTGGGGTCCCCGTGGATCTCATGGTGCAACAGGCTTGGTCATAAACAGCAGCTGGAGACCCAGGGTGGATGCTCAGAGGAAATGGCTGGGTTTGAGAAGCAAGGTCAGGCTGGCAAGGGAGCATCCGGGAGCCTCACGGTGGCTCTGGCCTCACTCTGAAACCACCGGGCTTTAGCGTCTCTCTGGGGTACACGAGCTCCTGGCTATGGGGGGGGGTTACCTGAAGCCAGGCAGAGCCTGGCACAGGATCTGCCACTTGCTCTGTTTCTACAGGTATGACCTGAAGGAAGAGGAGAAGCTGCAGAGCCAGGAGGTGGGTACTTAGGCATGGGCTACAACTGTCTGGGGACAGGAGCCCTAACTCTACTCGTCAGTTGGGCTATTCTTTTGCTTCAGGGAAGCCAGAGCACCACAAAGACTCCCAGTGCAGAGGAAGGACATGTACCGAAGCAGGGTGAAATGGAACCAGGCAGACAGGAGACCGTGCCTGCAACCAGTCTGGCTCTGGCCTCCCCAGAGGGGCTAAAAGGGGAGTCAGGAAACTCTACAGCTGGTTTGGCCCTAGACTCCCCACAAAATTCTGACTTGGCTCCCCTTGACCTCTCTCTAGGAGGAGCTTGCATCCCCAAGCCTGGAGAAAGCACAGATAGGCTCAGTCCAAAGTGCGGGGCTCTGGAAAGTCCAGGGCCACAGCCAAATGGTTCTGAGCAGCGGACCCTGGTGTGGGATGACCACCAGCCTGGGCTGGAAGTCCACACTTATGCCGAGTCACAGGGAGAAGCAGAGGTCTCAGAACCCAAGGAGGACAGGGCTGGTAAGGCTGGGGCCCAGCAGAGCCTGGCACCAAGAAGCAGGCCCCCGAGAGGAACTGGCCAAAGGACAAGAGGCACAAGTAGGAGAACCAGGGCAGGCGGTCCTGGCCCTGCAGGGAGATGCTGAGCAAAGCTCCTGGAGTCGGGGAGCCAGGCTACGGAGGGGAGAGTTCAGTCCTGAGTCTTTGGTGTGGCAGGAGTCTGGCTGCTGTGGCTTGTAACTTTTTGGTCGAGCAGTGTGGCAAAATTCCGCAGGGACACCACGCGAGGGCCTCTTATGCACATCTCTCTACACAAGTGGGTTTTTACATGTAGGCAAGGCCCCTGGTGTATTTGCCAGGCTGGGATCTCTTGTTTAAGGATGGTATCCTTGGACTGGGCCTACTGCTACCTAGGATAGGCCTTTCCCACAAAGCAAGAGTTGGTAGTACCCCAGAACGTGGGTCTCCTGGCTCCCTGTCATTCCTCATTGCCAGGTTTCCCTCCCCAGGCACAGTCTTCAGGTGCCTCAACTTTAGACCGTCTCAGAGCTGGTGTGGCCAGCCCAGCCCCTTTCTGACACCCATGCCTTTCATCCAGGTGGCTCACGGTCCTGGTCTTCCAAGATGGCCAAACCGGGATTTCAATAATCGCCTGAGGCCCAGAGAAAGTGGGTTGAGACTCACGGCTGACAGGAACAAGGGTGGAGTGGAAGAATAGAATCCTAGGCTTCTTGGGGGGAAAGGAGGCATTGCCGGGCCTCTTCTCTGACCTGGGCTAGGCTTCTCTTGTCCATGGCCACAGGAGAATGGGAGAGCTCACTAGCAGGTACTGAGCCTGCCTCTTCTATATCCAGATCAGACATCATGGGCGCCCTGAATGGACCCTGCAGCCCAGGGCCATTTCCTGACTTCTCTTCCTTCTGCATTTCCCCTCACCAGGGCCGTGCAAAAGCAAGCACACAGAGATAAAGGAGTAGCAACCGCAGCTAAGTACAGCATCAGGAGGTGTCTTTCTAACTCAGGCTCCATGCAGGCCCCTCCCATGAGGCCCACGTCTGGTGAATTATCCAGACTCTGCACAAGCTGTGGCTCCCTTTCAATACAACAAACATTTCCTGAGCGTCTTCTCCCAGTGATCCAGCCGGTGGGCGAGGGTGAATCTGCCAGCAGGAGGGAGGGAAGGAAGGAGCTCAGTCATCCACAGCTCAAGGCTGAATGGCAAGTGCTGTTCTGTCTGCAGATGCCTGGCAGCCCTGGGGACCATGAGGGTAGGAGCCTGAAGAGAACCACCCCACCTTTGCTGCCCTCTTTTGATGTGGCCTGCGCCCTTCGCTCCCAGGCCCTTATCTGGACGGCACCGTGCAGCCCCCTCCCCTTTCCTCTCCTTTCCTTATGTGAGGGGAGTCTCACATAAGCCTCTGAGACTCTAGGGAAGGCCCACACCAGCTCCATCTTTCCACGAGAGGCCTGAAACTTGGGCTCCTGTCGTGGTCTTCCTTCCTGGCTCTTGGTTCCATCTAGTCCCTCTACTCAGGCAGAGTGAATCCTCAAACAGGTCAGGTTGTTCAGAGAATTCTTCTCACACTTCCGTGTGGCCGGAGGTGCAGGATGAACCCAGTGGGGCTGGGGAAGGTCTGGAAGTTTGCATTTCTAATAAGTCCCAGGTGAGAGAGGCATGGCTGTCCCCCCCACCCCCCCACCCCCACCCCCGGCCTGAGGAACCCTTTGAGGAGTCGGTTCTGGAGTGAGGTGTGTGAAGGGTTCGGGTTAGAGCGGAGTCTAGACTGTAATGGCAAGTTGCTGGCTACGTAGGAACCAGGAGAGTGCGCCCCTGCCAGGGGAAGAGGCTTCCTGGCTTCAGAGGCTCCTGTGGAAGATTCTTTGGGCAGTGGGTAGTGGAGTCAACTCTACAGTGTATCACAAGGAAGCTGACCAGGAAGGGATATGACAGGTTGAACTGGGAGGGTCAGTGGAAGTTTGAAAAGGCAGAAAAACATTCCTGTACATGTGAGACATGCCTGGGCCGGAGTGAAGGATCCAAATTCGATATTTCTATCCTGCCTTCCAGTCTCAAGTATAGGTCTTTGGAATGTGACACGGGCCCTGGAGCTCATGACTCCTAAAAGATGGGACTGGAATAGAGTGGGTTCAGGCAGAACTCTTGAATTCAGATATTGCGAAGAAATGATTGTGATCAAAAATTTGAATTCTTGGCTGGGGGTGTAGGTTGTAGTTGTAGTCCATTCTCAGCATACATGAACCCCTAGGTTCAGTCTCTAGGATCCCCAAGACAGCTAGAGAGCGGGGAGGGAGACAGGGGAGGGTAGAGAGAAAGAGAGGGAGATGGAGGGGGGTGGGAGAGAGGAAGAGAGAAAAGAGATTCACAGTTTGCTTCCCACTGGATGTTGCCAACTCTCCAATGCGCTTCATCAAACAACACAGAGCACGACGTGTTTGCCCACGGGCTGAGGATGTAAAAACCTGGCAGGGTTCTAGCTGGTTCTTACAAAGGGACCTAAGCAGGACAAAGAGCTGGCAAGGAGGACTGAGAGGATGTGGAGCTTTTCTTCATGGGCAACAACCATTCAGTAGACCACTGGGGGAAGCCATGCTAGGGACTGGAGAGAACGGAAGCCGACACAGGAAATCTTCATTACAGAAGCCTGCAGTGCTATCAATAACACCAAGCTTTTCCTGGGAAAGGGGAGCTCTTCTCCAAGACAAGATAAGGGTGATACTCCCAGCTCTCTGTCCAGGGGTGGCCCACCTGCTCTATTACAGAGTCAACTATGGAGCAGGAGAAATCCATGTCCATCATTCTATTTAGGCTACAAAGAACTGGTTGTGACTCTTCCTGGTCGCTTTGTTGAAAGGTCTGACCGAGAGCTTTCTCTTAGGAAGCCCCTTCTTTCCAGTGACCTACAAAAGTAGGAGTCTTCATTAGACAGAGCTCTGGGGAACCAGATGCAGGGCTGGGAGGAGCCGAGCAAGGACGGGACCCAGGAGGACCCCGTAGGGAGAGGACACGAATCTTTTTCTTTTTTCTTTTCTTTTTCTTTTTTTGGTTTTTCGAGACAGGGTTTCTCTGTGTAGCTTTGCGCCTTTCCTAGAACTCACTTGGTAGCCCAGGCTGGCCTCGAACTCACAGAGATCCGCCTGGCTCTGCCTCCCAAGTGCTGGGATTAAAGGTGTGTGCCACCACCGCCCGGCTGAGGACACGAATCTTATACAGAGACCTTGAAACAAAGAGGGCAGAAGGAAAATGGAGACAGAACTGTGAGAAAGGTGTGTGTTTTGATCCCAGGCACCATGGTAGAGTAGAACACACCTTGGAGTCACTGCATATGAACCCTGGACCTCCCATCCACCTTGGTCAACTTTAACCTCTAAAAGCCTCTGTTTCCTTATCTGCTAAATGAGGCTTGCAGTACAACCTTGAAGGGGGTTGCTGAGAAAGCTAGAGTATGCAAACTCTACCTGCACTCAGTAGACTCTGGTAAGAGTAGCCTGACACACAGAGAATATGTTGAATAAATGAGGTGGACGTTTGATGTGATGTCGATGTGTGCTTGTTTTCTGTCATTTCTTACTTTCCTCTTACTGGGGATCAGTACTCTCTCAGGGAAAGGATGGCAGTTTTTGCTTCACTATTTTCCTCCAGAAGCCCACCCCCTCGGGAGCTTCCTCTGAGTCTCCCAGAATGAAGTTCTGCCACCGAAATGAGAAAATGACTGATTTTCTTATGGCTAACCTCAGCTATTTAAAACAACATACAAGTTTGGAAGATCTGACCACTAGTTAATTCCAGCCCCGGTTCTGCCCTCAGAAACAAGAATTACAGGAAAAGATAGCACCGGTCCTTAAAAACACCAAGAAATGGCAAAATTTTCCATATGGACTGTCTTTTCTGGAGGTGTGGGCTAAACGTGGGTAGGGGTTGTCAAGAGAATAGAGAAAAACAAAGGTACCACCCTTTCACATTGGGACATTTATCAGTGTCCACCAGCATCTCCTTCCGAGTCAGGGTTATCTGGGCTACAGAGGAAGGACAGATCGGGTGACCATGGCCTCCCCACAGAGGCAAACTTCAGGGCTGGGAACGGTGAAGAGGAGACTAGCAGAAAGGCCAGACTGCCGCTGCTTTCTCTCAAGTCTGCTGCGCCTACGTCACGGCTCTCATTAAGCATCCACTTGACGCCAGGGAGGTGAAACAACGCAGACCTGGCACCAGAAAGGACAAGCGTGGCACCCACTGCTCCTTTTAAGGACTGGTTGGAGAAGCAGCAGGCCCCAGGGCAGGAGGTGAAGCAAACACATCAGCACCTCCGAGGCAGAGGGAGGGGGCTCGCAAGCCTCCCTCCATCTTAACAAGCTCTCCAGGGCTAACTGTCAAAAATAATGGACAGTGTAGGCTTTTTCCTTTTTCTTACGAACTCTGGAGACATAGTGTTTCCTCTCCCCTTGAGCAGGGCAGCTGGCTCCAGTGAAGCAAAAGGGCCACAAGTCACATTGATAACCAGCTAGCAAAACACAAAGATCCCCAAGCTACAGACTCAGAGGGCAAGGCTGGGCCAGCTCTCCAACTTCAGTGTGCATGGGAATCACCTGGAAAGCTGGTTTTTTGTTTGTTATTTTTCTGTTTTATTTATTTTTGGTTTCTCATGACAGGCTTTCTCTGTAGCCCTGGCCCCCCTGGAACTCACTCTGTAGATCAATCAGACTGACCTCAAACTCGGAGATCCGCCTGCCTCTGCCTCCGGAGTGCTGGGATTAAAGGCGTGCACCACCACAGCCTGGCTGGAAAGCTGGTTTTAAACAAAAGGCCTGTCTCCACTTCCTGTCACAGTTCCACCCACTTCTCAGGTGCTGCTGATGCTCTTGGTCTGGGAGTTAGTGTCATGTATGCTGGCCTCCCCTTCACATTTCCTTCCACGCATCATTTTTTTTTCTAACACGGGAATGGCTATTCCCTTGAAAATATATTACTTATGTGTGTGTACCGCCCTTTTATTCCCAAGGCCTTAAAGCCCTTTCACATCCACTACTTCCCTTTGCTGTCCTGATACCCCACTTGGTTGGCATAAGAGGCCCAGGTCTTTTCCAGTGCTACTGATGAGTTGTCAGGTTTCTTAACTTGCTGTTCAGTGGTCACTTCTGAGAGCACACTGCCTCCACACCCAGGTCCTGGTCACTCCATGAGCTGACTGCACCTCTGAGATGGGCTCCAGTAACTCTTTTTTTTAAATACATATTTTATTTTGTATGTGCATGATTTTGCCTGTGTGCATGTCTGTGCACCATGTTCATGACTGATGCCTGTGGAGGCTGTAAGAGGGTGGGGGAGCCCCTGGAACTGGAGTTACAGACAGTTGTGAGCCACTATGTGGGTGCTGGGAAAGGAACCTGGGTCCTCTGGAAGAGCAGCAAGTGCCCTTAACTGCTGCTCCATCTCTCCAGCCCTGCTTCTTTAACTAAGGGGACAGATGGCTTCTAGGACACAAGGGGAGAGATCTTAGCTAATGACTATGAGCACTGAGGGAGGAGAAGAAGGTATATTTAAAAAGAAATCACTTCTGATGAACGCAGCTTTTTTATTTTTATTTTTTATTTTGAGGAGTTTGTTTTGAGAGTTTTGATGTTCACTTGGCACACTCTAGGCGCTCAATAAATACTAAATTAGTGGTAATGATTTGTGGAAAATATTCCTGAGGATATTAAACAGAATCTTGCTGCTGGTATAAAAACTAATGACTGAAATTAGGAAAATGGGGCTGTTTAGGCAATAGAGCGTGACGGCCATAGGCAAGAAGTGTGTGGTAATTTTCTGGTCCCTTTCTTGTAGCTTAACCAAGGCTTCCAGAACTGAATAGGACCACAGGAACTGGCTCAGTGAAGGTGCTTATGACTGGCCAGGTGACTCATGGGCAAGAGGGACCGTTAGGGGCCGAGTTTGTTCTGACAATGGACATCCTAATAGAGTTGGGGTGTGTGGCGAAGACAGGCTTGGTTTGTTTTTGTTTGATGAGCTATTGGAGGGAACAAAAACCGTAACACAGGCTCTCTGAAGCAGAAAACCACAGGCTACATGTGTGAGGGAAACAGATGTGACCAAGACACTGT